CTGGCTGGGAGCGAGCTGGGGAATTTCAGCCTCAGGATTTTATGGGGAACCAGCTCTGGGCCCAGCTGCCTCCAGGCGCTCCAAGGTCTCGGGCCCAAATTGAGGAATGCACAGCGGGAACGTGAGCCCCTTCCCAAATCCTCCTCCGTTTTCCTGGAGAGCACAGTTGGAGATGCGAATTCTGATGAAGTCACGGAGCAGCGGGACAGCCTCAGCCTCCCCCTACCTGGCATGTCCTGGACGTATACTGCCCTCCTTGCCAGGCCCCCATGCACCTCTTCTGGGAAGGCAAATTGAGCATGCATCTTGGCAGACAAATAGGGACAGTTCCTGCAGTTCCAATGCTGTCCCTCCAACACTGTGTCCCACCTTGAGGCTCCCTGGCCCAGGTGGCCCCAGCTTCAGTATGCAGAGAGAGAAGCATGGCCTGGGAGCTGCAGGGCCGGCCCTATCCACTGGTGCTGTGTCTTTGAGTCTGCACCTCCAGGTTCACACAGGCAAACTCGAAGAGGGTCAGTTCTGCCACTATCTGTTGAGCACGTTCTCCAAGAGTACTGGGGTCAGTTGTCTGAAGGGTTGGCAGATCCATTTGCTCAGACAGCCCATGTGTGCGCGCAGAGCTAGAAGACAAGAGCGATGCCTCTGTGTGGTGGGGAGCACCCCTGCAGAGACCCTCGGGATCATGTAGGCTAGGAATCCTGTCTTCCTGCTCCCCTTTCCAATCACTTCCAAAAAACTGGCACTGTGGCAAAGCTTCGTTCCCAGGGGCCAGTTTCCTGTAGATCTGCCCACACATGGTGGAAATCAGCCCCCCAAACAACCACATCTTCTAGCAGAGCAGATCGAGGCACGCACAGGCAGTCACTGTAGTATCCCGAGGGCCTCTAAGGTCCACCCATTAGGAAGCCCAGGGGACAGAGCCAGCCTGGCAGGGGGAAAGATGGGTGAGAGGCTCCACATTCCAGCTCCGCAGGATGAGGCCTCACCAGAAGGTACCTGTGACCCGCCAAGGGCAGGTTTACCAAAGAACTCCACTTGGAAGTGCACACCCGCAGCAATGTGACAACTAAGCAAGGTGAGGAGCGGCTGCCAGACAGGGACACCCCACCCAGTGGAGGGAGGAGACGAGGAGGCTTCTCCACGTGCTGCTCCAGGAAGACAGGGAGGGGGGACACCCACCCACCCCCGAAAATATCCTTGTTGCCAAGGCAACCACTTCACGTACTCTTGCAGGGTTGCAAGAAGTGGCCTTGGTTACACTCCAAAGGCCACAATTTTGTTGCGGTGAAGAAGCCCAGTCAGTGGGGCATTCTTGACAACCCAGAAGTCACTCCCAGAAGCAGCGATGGTCCCCACTACTTAGCTGCCTTCTTGGAGACTCTTTGTAGGTCCCTCAGAGGCTGCCAGAGCATTGCAGAACACCACGGGCAGAATCTCACAGGTCAACCAGAGGCAGAGGGAGAGGGCAGTGGGCAGGAATGCACAGCGGGAACATGAGCCCCTTCCCAAATCCTCCTCCGTTTTCCTGGAGAGCACAGTTGGAGATGCGAATTCTGATGAAGTCACGGAGCAGCGGGACAGCCTCAGCCTCCCCCTACCTGGCATGTCCTGGACGTATACTGCCCTCCTTGCCAGGCCCCCATGCACCTCTTCTGGGAAGGCAAATTGAGCATGCATCTTGGCAGACAAATAGGGACAGTTCCTGTGCTTGTGAGATGCTGCTGCTCTTGGATGTGGAGTCTGAGGTACCAGGTGTCCATGTGCCAGCTCAAGTCCACCCTGTGTGCTGGGCAGATGGGGAACCCCCCTGCTCCCTCTCTCAGAGGAGACTTGGAGGGACCTCTGGAAAGACATAGTTGATTATACAAGGACCCTGCCCAAACCCTGGCACAGCCTAAACCTCCCCGCACCATGATTAAGGACATATACAGTTTCAGTGACAGCCTCTTCTTGTTTCCAGAGCCAATTTCCTTTGTGTCCTGTGAAGATGCACTCATGCACTCGGTGACCCCAACCTGTGACACACACTTGTATGATTTTTCTGCATGGGGTTTTGGGCTCAGCTGGAGAGTCTTCAGCCACAGGGTATAAGGGATGATTGTCTGCCGTAGTCAGAGTCACTCGCTCCCTGTCTCAAGGCCATTCAAACTGAGGCTGCAAACTCTGAAGACCCAGGTACTGTGGAGACCACTGACCAGAAGAGAGGGCCCAAGGGGATGGAGATGGGCTGGGAAGCCCTTTCTAAGGGGTGTCTGTCTCTCAGACAAGGATGAGTCCAGCATGGCCAGATACAGACTTCTAAAGAGATGACAGACCTAGACTTTTATAAGAAATTTGATTTTAAGATATCAACAACAAATTCAAATGTCTAACCAAGCACCACGCTGGTCAAGTGCAAATCTGCCCCTGGGCCAGGTTCAGCCTATAAACACCAGTTTCTTATCAGAGGATGCAAATAGAGACATTTGTGGCTTCCCTCACACTGTCCTCTTCCCATGGCAGAGGGGCCAGCAGAGCATCCTAGTGCCTAGGCAAGGACAGTGTGACCCCAGAGAGCTGTTCTGTCTCACCACCCTGGAGCTGGGCTGAGTGGCTGTCTCTCAGGAGGCTAAACCAGGCAGTAGCTGGGCTGGGCGACCACCATAGAGCATGCCTTGTGGCTGTTGGCACTGGGCACTCAGGGCTGCTGTGGGCAGAGCCCTGTTATGGAAGACCCCAGAGCATGGCTGCTGGATCCCAAGAAGAGGGTCCCAAGAATTAGCCTGAGAGGCTGTGGATGGGCAAGCTTCTTGTGATCTAGCCTGAATGCCTTGCCAGGCCATTCCTGTCGGATCCATTGGGAAAATTCCCGATACACGGGGAGGGAACCAAGTGCACTTTTCTATGGGAAATAACAGCCAAGAACAGAAGCCATCTTTAATATTTCAAAATTTGGGGGTGAGGGTGGAAAGCTAATGGCTAAGCACAAATCTTCATTTATTAACTGGAAGAGGTTGGGTCCCTGTAGACACCCTGAATAAGGTCAAACCAAGGCCACAAATGCAGAGACATAGCACTCATGGCACATTATGGGGGGCAGGACATGGCTTCAGGCAGATGGCCAGTGGGAAAAGAGATGACCGTCTGGTGGCAGAGGGTCAGTGGAAAACTCATGCAGGTGATAGGTAGAGCCTCCTCAAGCCCTCAGTGAGGACGCCACTCATTGTCCTCTGTGTTACTCAATGACTGAGGGTTACAAGTGATTTTCTGCTGGGCTGTTTTTGAAATGGCTATGCTTGCCCCAGGTCCCTGCCACAGTGAAACAGTGGCCTCAGAGAAGTCCCGCATGGAACGGCCATTCACCCCAGTAGAGGTGACAAAGCGCCGGCCTCTGCCTACGCAGGGCAGGGACACACTTGGGGAAGGCGGGTGTGAGCCTGTGGGATCCCGTGGGTGCTGGAGTGAAAACAGGGCCCACTTCCCTCTCCGGACTGTTGACCGGAGGCCGCCCTCAATGCCGACCAGAGCCATAATTTGCTCTGCCTGTGGTTTTATTCTTTCCTCCCCTTTTCTTTTTAAAGAAACTTTGTTGTCAAATGAGTCCCCTACCCTAAGGACTGAGGACCTCCTGAGGATTGTCCCCTGGGAATCCTCCAGGAGCCCTTCTGCAGCTCTCTAGGGAATGAGATGAAGGCCAGCCTCATTCGCTCATGTTCCACCAGCACCCTGGCCCACGTCCATACCACTGAGCTCTGCAGGGGTCATTGGCCCTATTAGACCCATCCAGGAGCCTCACTCCAAAGGAGAAAAAGCTTCCAGGTCTCTGCCTCATGGCCTGTTCCACAGAGCAAGTGAGTGTCCCCACACAAGGTCCCACACCTTTAACACTGCAAATGAATTTTGCTTCTGCTTATTTCAAACCAAGAACCTGACTCCTGAGTTTGGTCATATTGGCCGAACATCCAGGGGGTTGGGCTCTCTGCTCACATCCATTTCCTCTCAACAGCCCCACGGTAACAATACTGGCCATGCAAACTCCTTCATGCATGAGCCCTGCTCTTCTCTGGAGAGATGGAGAATAGGCAAGAGAGAATGTGAGCAGGGGCTTCCTCTGGCCTCGAGGACCAGGAAGTAGGAATCAAGACACAAGTACCAGGCTCTGCACAGTTGGGAAAGTTCTCCATGGGCGAGAAGGTGCATTCACCCCTACCAGGGTTGGGGCTTCCTCCAGGGTAGACTGCTACCCCAGGGTCAATGTACTGGCCAGCTCTGGACAGCTCACCCACATTAGTGCACCTACATTAAGGCGTCCCCTTGTGGGGACAGGCACCCCAGATCAGGAGCTAGAATTTCCTCGGTCATCCCCCAGCAGACGTTCATGTACAAGCCGCTCATCTCACAGATCCTCTCCTCATAACAGTGGTACACCCAATCCCAAGCAGCTTCCAAGATGGTGGCCACAGATTCCAGCCCCCATATGTCCCAGGGGCTCCGAGGAACCAGCGGGCTGCTTGTCCCGCTGAGGGTACTGTGCGGGCCACGGTCAAAGTGTCTCATACACTTCAGGCAGAAAAACTCATCATGTCCTTCTTAAACTAAACTTTAAATCTGGGGATCATTGTAGATTCATGTGCAATTGTGAGAAATTATTCAGAGATCTGGTGTACCCCGAACATACGCAGGTCCCCCAGCAGTAATGTGCTGTGAAGCTGTACGTAGACCACAGGCCACACCAGGGCTTGACAGGGACATGCTCCACCCATCTCGCTCTGGCTCCCCAACTCAACCTGCGCTGTGTGCATGCTTCGTGCGATGTGATCACACGTGTGGGTCTTGGTCTCCACCACCATTCTTGAGAGACACACCTATGTCTGTGGCAGGCACACGAGGCCATCATCCCACCAACTCCAAGTAGACTTTGGTGTGGGGAGGACTTGGGGGTCAGAGCAGGATGAATTCCAGGGCACTCAGGCAGCTCTGTTACTTGACACAGTGCCCTTGAGGTACCAAGCAGGACTCACCTCTGTGATGATGTAGAAGCCGTCCCCGGGTTCCCCTTGGACCACGATTTTCTCCCCATCTTCAAACTGCACAGGCTCCAAGGCATCGGCCACAGTCAGGCGCTCCCACTTCTCCAGGGACTCTGTAGAGGACAATAAGGTGTCAAGGCTGCCCCTTGCCACAGCAGCTGCTCTCCTCAGGATGTGGCTCAGGAAACTCCCCTGCTACTTAGTGAGCTGAGTCACAGACGAAGGGGAGAGCAGAAAGCCAGCTCCCCGGTGCTTCTGCATGTGGGACCTGGACATCTTGCTATTACAGGGGATTCATGTGCACACAGCTCACACCCCACCTTCGGCCAGGAGATGCAATTTGAAAATACTCACAGCCAACCACATCTTGCAAATAACATGCGGGGCAAACTAAGCCTAAGTTAACTTAGTATGAAAATGCTTTTACTTTTCGCTCAAAGATCAAGGCTCCCTATATTTTTGCAAACAATGGAGTCATGGCTGAACCCTGCAGCTACTAAGCAGCTGAGAATATTTCAGAGTGGTCAAAACAGCACTATCCATTGCGGGCTGATCAAAGACCCTGGCACAAATGCTTCAACGTCCAAGAAGAGCAGCCTTCCACTATTTTAGGCCAAAACTCCTAACTCCAATGCCAAGTTTATCTTTAAACATTTGCAAACTCAACAGCGCTTTCCACCCTTCTCACACCATCCCTTCCTGACATTATCCATCCCTAACACTCAGAAGGAAGAAAAGAATAATAACGTGAGACTTTCATAAGAAAATCACAACCGCCTGATTAACTATTTCTTTTTTGGCGAAAGAAATTGGCCTATACTTAGATACTATCTATGTAGGTCAGCTGCTAAAAATGAAAAATAAAAGCATTTATTTTAGATCTAGGTTGGCAGGGGGTTTCTCTCCCTAGGATCTGCCCGTGCCACACATTGCAAAACTTATGGCTGTCCACTAACCCCAAGACCACAGGAAGCCATGCGGGGCTCAGGCTGCCAAAAGTGCTCCAGCCAGGGCGTGTAGCCCTAAGTTGGTGAGACCAGAAGCTGTTGGGACAGGGGTGTGCCCTACAGGCCACACACCACATGCCTGTGACTACAGACTTTGGAGTGAGATTATAGCTTGTGTTCAGGAGGAAGCGGATGCAGAAAGGGACTGTGTGGGAGCATGGCAGGTTTGGTTTACTGGTGTCCTCACGAAGGCCGTGATAAGTCGCTTTCAGTTCTGAAATCAGTTGCTTGAGAGTTCACCTCCACCTGTTTGATTAGCAGATTTTTTTTTTTCCATGTCATTTGAAACCTACAATAATCTGAGGTCTGGGAATTGTGATCTGGAGCAAGCTCTGCCTCCCAACAATTTAAATCTTGGTTAAAAACTGTCAGAGGAAACTGTAAGCGACATGGCAATTTCTTGGCCCCAAGGTTTTTTTCTTTTTGTTTTTTGTCTTTTTTAACGTCTTAAAGCTCTGAGGTGACTCATGAAACACAAGACATTTGTTCGTTGTCGTTGCTGTTTTAAACTACAATTTAGGATCCTGTCCCTTGAGACACAGGGTGCTAATAGTCAACCCTGCATAGGAAAACATGGTGCTCGGGCTACAGGAGTCTGATGGTCCCTTTTTTTTTTTTTTAGATGTTGATGGACCTTTATTTTATTCATTTATTTATATGTGGTTCTGAGAATCGCACCCAGTGCCTCGCACATGCTAGGCAAGTGCTCTACCACTGAGCCTCAACCCCAGTGCACATTTGATGGTCCCTTCTGATCATGTGTGCAGAAAAATGCAAGCGAGTGTCCCAGGAGGTGCTCCAACCAAGTCAGCCTGCCGCCCAGCTGCACGTATGAGGTGGGTGCTCAGGCCCCACCTGAAGGGGCCTGCAGCACAGAATTCCCCAAAAGCGACTCAGTGGCCTTCACCACCCCTGCCAGCTGGGCAGGGCTGGGAAGTCTCCCACACTGGGTCGGCCTCATGTTTTCATGAGGAGAGGTTGGAAATGGAGGCCCCCGGTGTACTTACCTTTCCTGCATATCTCAGTGGTGGGGTAGGGGCTGCCCTGTCCATAGCAACAGTCTCCACCCAAGCTGAGGGCAGACGGGCACATCTTGTAAATAACATGCAGAGCAAACTGAGCCTAAGTTCACTTAAGTATGAAAATGCTTTTACTTTTCTCCCAAAGATCAAGACTGCCTATATTTTTTGCAAACAATGGAGTCACGGCTGAACCCTGCAGCTACTAAGCAGCTGAGAATAATTCAGAGTGGTCAAAACAGCACCATCCATTGCGGGCTGCAACGGCCAGCTGCCTCCTAAAGCCAGTCGCCACACAATGTCCACAGGCCACGTTTGGAGGCCATGTGTGGCTTGTGGTGACCAAGCAGAAGAGGGGACCAGAGTCTTGTAGTTGTTCACCCAGGGCCCTGGAGGAGCCAGTCACACTTGTATGCTTTGCATTCATTAAAGGAAACAAGATGAGCGGGCACGGCCAGACAGGTGCCCAGAGTCCATAGGCGTCTAAATGCTCAAGACATTCAAGGGAAGAAATCAGCTCCAGTTGGGATGCCTATACTAGGCCGAAGTCCTGGGGTGGTCAGCAGAGTCTCCAGGAGGGCAGAAAGGGGCCTGTGTTTGGCTGGATGCTACCCTGCAGCCATGGGCTTGAATGGTTATCAGTAAATGAGTGAATTGATAAGTGAGAATGGTCCAGGTGGCCACGCCACACTCTGTTCAAAGGCAAGGAAACCCAAAGGCAAAGGACAAGAAAGTCCCTGGTTTCTCTTTTGCGTGGGAATAAAAAGTCCCTTTCTCGGCCCCTGAAAAAAAATCTTAGGGGTCAACTCAGGAGAGTGCTTTTTCTTTTTCCAGGTATGATACGTTTAAAAAGCCACAGGAAAGAAGCCAGACGAGGAAGGCCACATGGGAGATCCCACTCAAATGAAAGGCCAGAATAGGAAAGTCCACAGAGACAGGCAGGGGACCCATGTAGCAAGGGCAGGAGGGGCCAGGGAGGGCACTAACGGGGACAGATTTCTGCTCAGCGTGATGACTCAGTGGTGAAACCACAGAGCTGACACAGAGCAACACCATGTGTGTGCTTCTTTCCCCTGAGCCACACTTCTTAAAATGGTCACGTTGGTCCCTTCTATGTTATGAGTATCTCAACAGTTCACGAAAGAAATCAGATAGGATGTGGTTCAGGGCAAAGTATGTATTCACGCACACAGACAGACAGACAGACACACACACACACACATACATATATACACGCACAGGGGTCTTTGGCTGCTCTGGGGCTGGGTGGGTCACTACAGGTGGGAGATGCAAGGAGGGGCAGGTGCGGGCCCAGGTCTTTGCCTCCCTAGTAGCTTCACCATGTGCAAAATAGATTTGGCAGTGTCCTCCCCACACGATGTCTGAGGGTGCTCATCTGAGTGTGCCAGCCTGGGGTGCACTTGCAGCCCCATCCGTATCCCCCAGGGACAGAGCACTAAGTGCATAAAAAGCACAGGGATGTCCCCAGGACAGCCATGCTTAGAGTAAAGCAACCTGGCAGGGGAAGAAGGCCAAACCACCCAGCTACTAGGAAGCAGAACTGGCCTCCAGCTCAAAGTAACTGACCACGGGGCATGGTGGTGCACGCCTGTCATCCCAGCGACTCGGGAGGCTGAGGCCCTAATCAACTTAGCAAGACCCTTTCTCAAAATAAAAAATAAAAATAATAAAAAAGGGCTGGGGATGTAGCTCAGTGATTGAGTACCAAGGGTCCAATCCACAGTTGAAACAAACAAATAACCAAATGAGGGATCTAGGGTGACGGCATCAAAGACAGTGGGAGAGCTGAGCCGGCACAACCCTGATTTAAGAACTGTCATGCCACAGACCATAGTGTGTGCCCACCACTGATGGATGTGTGTGCTTGTGTACATATGTGAAAGTGTGTGTGAACATATCCCTAACCTGCTTAATACCAAGAGTGTGTAACCTGCCAGCCATGCAAGGAAGGGAAGGCATCTGGGACTGGAGGGCAGGTGCTCACAGGAGCCCACAGAGGTCACCTGGGGACAGGCAGAGCCACTGACCTAGGATGGAGACCTTGCTGAGGAACTCTTCATACATCTTGCGTTTTCTCAGTGTGCTGCCCTGTTTGGAAGAAAAAGGGAGAATGTGGGTCTTCAGACCTGAATCATTTCAACAATTCCAGACTTTCCCAGAGGACTATTAACTCCGAACTCTTCAAAGTAGACCCTTTTAAAGCATCCCAAATCCTGAAAGTTGCAGATGGCCATGAACCTGTGACAGCCAGACCATTTCTTGTACCCAGCCCTCAAATCCCTGGAGTCTTCTGAAGGGGCTTCCATGGCCCAAGGTGTGCCAGCCTTTATGGGGACCTGACAGTACACCCCCAGGGTCCACAACCTATATATGCATTGTCCCCTACCAAACAGGGCTGACCTAGGTAACCAAGGGGATGCTAAGGAGATTTCCCAAGCTGAGTTGTGGAAGACACTATGGCACCAATCATACTGCCCCCATGATTCAAAGGAGGGACACTGCCTCTTGTCAGCCACCAGCACCATGGGAACAAGACATCCCAGAAACAATCTTTCATCCTTCATATCTTCCAGTGATTGCAACCCTAGAGAGTTCCAGGCCAGAGCCACCCAACTAAGCTGCTTCCTCGGGACCCACAGAAACTGTGCCAAATGCTACACTTCTGTCAGAGGCCGCTAAGTCCAGGGGAAGTTTGTTACTCAGCAACAGCTAACTAGGGTGTCCAGCTAACCCTGATCCTAACCCAGGTGGGACAAGAGCTTCTAAGGCCTGAGGGCAGTTGGCGGGTAGACCTCCCAGCTGCCTCAGACATCCAATAATGGCGAAGGAGGCTCATTCATCCTGCTTGGCCATCGGTGAGATGGTGTTGATATCCCCATGGGCTCCTCCCCACACCTACTTGCAGTAGCCAGACCCTCCTGGTCCCTGAAGCCACAGGCAGCCTCGGACACTGAAGCACACCCACCATCAACTTTCTAAAGAAGAATCTATGTTGGAAGATGTCGGGCAAGTGGAGGTGGACCAGACACGAGAGGCAGGACCCCTGACACACAGAGGGCCCCCACGTGCCTGTGGATCTGTCAGAACCTCTTGTCTCTGGAGAGGTCTGTTCAGAGCATCTGACCCATCTAGTCAGAGAGAGTGGAAACAGTCACGTTGGGTGGCATTTACAAGTGCGCTGTGAAAGGCAGGTGCTCAGCTCTGTGCACATTGTCACAACTCACAGTGGCCCCAAGGAGCAGGAGAAAGGGGAGAGGGGAGCACACTTGAAGCACAGGCCCACAGCCACCCCACTGAGTGTGGGACAGGGTCCCCCTACTCCAGGCCCTCTCCCATCTCTTCAGGCCACCTGCAAAAGACGCAGCTTGGCTTTATGGTTCAGAACTGAGAGCAGTTTCAGCTGAAGGCTCCTGCCTCCTCCAAGGGACCCTAGGCGACTTTGTCGAATGGGAAAATGAGGGGCTGCCACGGGAGCCCCCTCCCCAGTGGGGGAGTGGGGAGGCGTCCCGCAGACTTCCGTCCACACCCTCCTTGCTGGGTCAGACCTGGCGACAGGCGTGGGAGAAGGTCAGGGAAGGGAGCGGGATCTGCCCCAGCAGGGAAAAGGGCTCTCAGGGGAAGGGCTGGAGAAAGGGCACTGAAGGCCTGTCCCCAGAAAGCTATGACAAAAATGCAAGCAGCAGTGAAGTGGGGAAGGAATGGCTCTCGAGTCCCCAGGGCACAGCAGCAGTTTCCACGGGGCCAGACCAAGGGTTTTTCCACCGTTTCTGTGAGCCGACCTTTCCCACCCAGCCCCAGCTGCTCAGGCACTCCCTGCTGGCCCGCCATGTCCCCTTCGACGTCCAGAAACACGGACCTGTGGAGCAGAGCCAGTCCCCCTCTCACAGTGGCCACCTCGCCCATGACAGGGACTAGGGCCTAAGCCACCCTGCCTCCTGTGCCTCCCAGGGCCTCAGCTTACAGGACATCCAGGCCAAGTCCCTGAGAGCCAGCAAAGCATACTACATTTGAGTTGGTCAAAGACAGATTTGGATGTGCCACCAAGCCATTAAGTCTTGGTAAAAGGGGATAATAATACTCCTGCCTCCCTGGGTAGCTGTAAGGACTAAGTCCCCAGCCATGTTCCCTCAGTTGCTGCTGATGGTGATAGTGGTGGTGATGGTGACAGTGGTGACGACATTGATGGTGGTGATAATGCTGACAGTCACTGTGATGTGGGTAATGATAGTGATGATGTTGTTGATGGTGACAGTGGTGATGTTGGTGGTGATAGTGACGGTGATAAGAGTGGCCATGGTGATGTTGATGATGATGAAGATGGTGGTGATAACGCTGACAGTCAGAGTGATGATAAAAATCAAGGTAGTGGTGATGGTGACAATGATGGCAGCCTGAGCACATTAGTGGCTCTGCAAGCCACCCTCCCCCCTCCTGTGACGTCAGGATAGATGACAACAACACATGGCAGGCAGGTGACAGATACTGTCTCTGCCCCCCAGAGGGGTAAGACACTGAGTGTGGGAGTGAAGCTACTCAACGGCCTCAGGATGGCCTGGAGCCTATGGGGACAGATGAATGCTGGGAGGAGACTGTCCCTTTTCAAGTCTTGGTCCCACCCTTTGGTAGCCCAATGGGCAAGAGAAGGCCATGACACTTCCCTGAGCCTCTATTTCCCCACAGAGTGGAGATGTAACAGGGCCACTTGTGGGTCAGATTCAAGGCTGTAACCATAGGAGTCAAGGTTCACCGTGCTGCTTCTCATCATGTTCTGGGAAGACGCGGGGCTCTTAGGATCAGTGAAGGAGGTCCCTCATCCCATGCTGATGAGGGGGAAGTCATCTGAGGCTGGTGTCTCACTACGTCTCCATGGGAAGCAGACAAGGAACCGTCTGGACTGAGGTAGAGATAGCACAGTGGTGGCAGTGGTGAGACAGCCCAGAGAAGGGAGAGGAGCCCAGGTCAGAGACACGTAGATCAAGGTGCCAGCTCGATCACTATTCTGATGGAGAATCTGAGGCCCAGGGAGGACAGGACTGGTTTATGAACATGGGGAGTTATGAGCAGGATCAGATTACAAATAGAGGGTGCTGACCCTCTCCCACGGGTTCTCCTTCATTGCATCTCTCCATCAGCTCCGAGCCAGGCAGTGCTGAAATAGCTACAGGTCTCATTGCACTAAGTTAGGACACAACCACCATCCTCAGCACCATCACCACCACCACCATCATCACCACCATCACCTTCACCATCATCACCTTCACCATCATCACCATCACTGGGGAATATCATTGGAAGCAGGATTAAAAGAGGCTACATGGAATCTAGGCACGTGGGCCAAACTTGCTGCTCGGACGTGAGGACCTGGTGTCTAGTCCAGGAGATCAGAGACCAGGAGGGTAAGGCTGGGGTGTCCCCAAAGGCCAGTGCTTGAAACCCAGATGGTCAGGTTTCCAGAGGGGAAACAGTCTTGTCTAAAAGTCAGAGCAGGCACCAGAGGTGCTCGAGGAGAAAGGGGAGGACCATGGAGAACAGGTTGGGGAGCGGCTGGACAGAAGTGGGATGGAGCAAGGACAGGGTGGAGAGACACTGAGGAGCAGAGCAATACAGCAGGTGCTGTCCCCAAGGCTCAGTGCCCACCAGGAGAGGCAACAACTACCCGTTAATGTGAGGATGCCCTTAAGGCATGGGTGGCATGTAGCTTGTCCATTGTCCCTCCACCAGTGACCATCCAGGAGAGGCTGAGGTGACTTGGAGCACAAGCCAGCTGTCAGGCACCATGAGCTCACACCTCTACTCCTCCAGTGCCTACCTGCCTCTTGGGCAATAGAAATCTTTTTTTTTTTTTTTTGGTACCAAGGATTGAACTCAGCTCAGGGGCACTCGACCACTGAGCCACATCCCCAGCCCTATTTTGTATTTTATTTGGACACAGGGCCTCACTGAGTTGCCTAATGCCTCGCTTTGGTGAGGCTGGCTTTGAACTCGTGATCCTCCTGCCTCAGCCTCCTGACCCACTGGGATTACAGGAATATGCCACCGCACCCAGCAGGAATATCTTAATGCCTTCCCCCAAAGGATCCCCATGAAGATTACATGGGACACCATGAAAGGACCCCGGTTCCCCACCCAGGCAGGCCTCAGCCTCTCCATCAGCTCCGAGCCAGGCAGTGCTGAAATAGCTACAGGTCTCAGTCTTAGGAGCCCAGAGTCCCCTCCCCAATCTCCCCTCTTTCCAGCACAAGTCCTAACAGGGTTGGGGGCTCACAGCCATAGGTCCAAGAAAACCTCATTAAGTTACCCAAGACCATCTGGACCCAGGCAGCGTAGAAAGTGGTTCTGAGCCCTGCAGGCAGCCTGAACACGTCTCCACAGTGACAAGAAGGGCACTATTGGAAGCCAGGACAGGCACAGGCAGCAGAACGTGGCATGTCAACCCATCAGAGCAGGTCAGGACAGCTTCAAAATGGCAGTGGCTTGCTCAGCGACCCAGTCCAAGCCATTTTAGATCCCTGCTGGACCCCCAAAAGCCTTTTCTTTTGAGCAATAATTCAAAATCCTCACTGACCACCCAGCAATTACGCCCATGCAAATGTTTTGTCCCACGAATCTGACATTAAAGTCAGCGCCATGGGCTGTCCATCTTTCTCTACAGGACAACCACAGGTGGCTGCCTGGGTCCTGGGGAAGGGACGGCCTCCATTGCTTCCTTTTGAGATGGACAGTTGGTAGATGGACAGGCTGGCGGCCTGGCCATTTGTTTCTACTCTAGGCATCTGGGAGACCACCTCCGTGACCTGGGGGACTTGAAGCATGTTAGCCAACATCCCAATTAGGCCTTGTGTGGCGGGAACTGGCATCCTGGTGCTGACCCAGCCAACTCCCTGAGGAGCTTTGGACCTGACCAGCCCTGCTCTGTCTCATTGGCACCTGCCACGGGCCATGGGCCTTCATTCTCAGATCTCTGTAACAGGCCAACCTCGAGAAGCAGAGATTAGACAGACCCCCAGGGGTCTCATCCCCGCTTTGTAAGCCTCGGACAGCCAACCCATGGCCTGAGGTGGCAGCAGGGGTAGACAGTGCCCTTTAGGGGGTCTCAGACCTTGGGGAGTACAGGGAGGCACTGGTGTGATACTAGGTCAGAGGATACCACCGTAGGCAGGGAGAGGGAAAGGAACCACCCATTCCTAAGCTGCCAGCAGACTGGGGCCCTTGCTAGAGTGACCCAAAGGCCCAGGCCCAGCCCTAACCTGCTGGCATGTGGCCTATGGACAAGGACCAGAACCCGGTGCTTGGGCACTTTCCACTTTGCCCTGCCAGCTCAGGAGAACATTTGTACTGAGGCTACCTCCTGGGGTGTCTGAGGTCCAACACCCCACAAAGCCCACCCCAGCCTGGGACTGTGATGCACCAAGGTGGCTGCAAAGGAGTCTGTCCAAGGTGTAAGCCTTCCATCACTCGAGGCCCCCCACTACTCAACCTGCAGAGACTTCTCCACCACCGGGTATACACAGTCCACCTCCAAGGTTGTGTGGTCCCCCAGGAGACACTGGGAGATACAAAGCCCAGTCTTAGTGTCTAGGGACCCTCCCTAACCCTGGTGGCCTCAAGGTTGCAAATGTCCAACTGTCTGTGCTAAGGAGGGAGGACCCACACCCCAAAGGCTACCATCCCTCAGTGCTGGGTCCCACTGAGGCTTCCTGGTCAGGAGTGCTGAGGCAGGGAGGGCCCTCTCTGTTCAGGTCCCAGGTTCCCAAGGTCTCAGGCCACCCCAGGCAGGGAGCTCTGGAGACCCTAGCACAGGCTCTATCACAGAATTCTACTTCACTAGCTCTCAACACCAGGCCCCAGATATTGTTTGGGTGCACAGAGGACCCAAAGTTTAAAGAAAAAAAAAAGAGAGCTAAGAGAGCCCTGAGCCTTCCTTGGGCCCCTGTCTGGAAGCCTGGGGATAGTGGTCAGTCTCTACTCCAGGCCAATATGGGCTCCATTCTTCCCTCAATAACACAGAACCTCAGAGGAAAGAAATGGACATTGAGAACCTTCAGATCAGACATTCTGGGATTCCAACTGCCTGAATGTGGCGTCCAAGTTGATGTTTGGGGAAGTGGTCCACTCCGTGGAGACACCAGTGTCCCCCATTTCCTGCATCCTCCTCAGCACATCCCAGCTTAGCTCTAAATGGGCACAGGGTGAGGACACTGCCTGACAGACACATCCAAATCTGCTCAGCCAGAGGACGAATGAGAACACCGTCCTGCCGGGCACTCCTGCCCGAACTTGCCCAGCACTGTCATTTTCTTTCCCGATACATGAGCTCTGCGACTTCCAAGCCCCACGGCGGCTATCCTTAGCACACAAGGATCCAAAATTAAAACAGAGAAAGTGCCAGCTCCCTCGGTGGTTTGAGAGTTTCCCTGAATATAAGGTTCTAGCCGCAAAAATCCCAGTCAGGAATGACACAGGGAAGACAGCGGCGGAGAAGCGATGGCTTATGCAACACCCAGCCAGCCAGGTGCACCCAGAAGGGACAGGAACTGTGTGGCCCTCAGAGGGAGGAGGCCCCAGAGCATCCCTCCCACACAGAGGTCTTGGCAGACAGGAGCATGCACATTAAGACAGGAGAAGGGAGGATCTGCGGAAGTCTTTCCTGGGGTCCCACGTTCATCTACTCTGTGCTCGAGTATCCACGTCAGTGCCACAGCCCTGGTGCATGCTGGGCACTCAACCAGTGCCCAGTCAGTATGTGGGTAAGGAGCTCATGGAGCATGATGTCTGATGAAATGGTTGCCCCTAGGACTGCTGACCCCTACGTGCAGAAGGAAAGCCGGTCCCCACAATGGGACCAGGAGAGGGCATTGGGGCAGGACTCCAAGCCTCCGTGACTAAGACTGGGGGCCCTGTCCTGAGCCATACTATGGGGATCCTCAGCTTCCTCTCATGTGTCTCAGCCACAGCTCCCCTTAGAAATGGTATCCTCCCTGCTCCGTCCAGGCTGGCCTTTGGGAGGACAGCCAAGACCCCGAGGAAGCTGTGTCTCAGACACGGTATTGGTTTCAGGCACAGAGTAGAGGCCATCCCATGGCATGAGTTGCCCTGGCAGGGGTGAGTTGAGTAAGGTTCAGTTCTCCCTACTAAGTGATTATCATGGCCACCTCCTTCTTCAAACTCCAGGCTTGCTGGAGAGGCCCCTGAGCAAATGCTGTCTCGAGGACGGCCCTCACAGCAAGCCCATGGTTCCCCTGACCTCTAATCAGACAGGAAAAGCTCCTAGCCCAGCACTGGCCACCACTGGGTAAGCAGGGAGAGCCAAAAGGTGTGGCTGCCCAGAAGAGGCACCCACTTCCAGTGGCCTCTGCCCAACAACAGAAAAGAAGGGGCTGTAGATGAAGAGCTGGCCACACGTAGACCCTCAGACCCCAGCAGCCAGCCTCAGACTCTCAGGATGCTTCTCACCATGGGCCACTCTGCCCTCACCAGGATGGTGAAGCTGGCGCAGAGATAGCTGGGTCCAAGCTGCCTCAAACTGCGGCCATGGTTCTGGGTGATCCAGGTCAGAGTCCAGCTGATGGGCCCAGTGGAGGCCGTGGGGCCTCCCTCACCAGGGAGCATGCCACCACTCTGGACAGAGCCCTTGTTCTTATCCAGGACAGTGTCCTCGCTGGCCACAGCCCTCCACACCACGCGGTTCAGGGCTTTGTCCTCACTGCTCGCATGGCCCGAGCGCTCTACCACACAGCCTGAGCCTTGGCCTCCTTCATTCCTGCCTGAGGCCTCTGCCCTAGTGTTCCCCGAGGGCAGATTTCTGAGGCCTTTCTAGAAGATAGCAACCGTCCCCTGCTCCTGGGCACCTCCACCCTCTTCTCCATGATTTCCCCTCAGGAACCGTCCATACACAGGTATGTGGAGGTCACGGTCTGTCTCCACCACAGGCCGGCTCAGCCTGCTGCTTCTAATGTCCCCTGCTAGAGAACGGAGCTTGGCAGGTAGTGTGCAGGTGAGCACAGAGCAGCCTCCTCCCACTGCGAAGGGTCTTTTCAGTCCAGAAGCTGCCCAGGTGACCACATCAGCCTGAAGTTCCAGCTGCCCCCTAGGGGGCTGTACACACATACCCTCATAGTGCACCCACAAAGCATAGACATGGCGGCATGTAAGAACAAACCTAAAACGACAGTGGCTTAAAACCCAAGGGTCAATCCCCACATGAAAGAAGTATGGGAGTGAGTGGTCCAGCCCTGGTATGGTGGTCCCACCAAGTTGGCAGGAAGCCCTTCCTCATGCCTCTTTGCTCTATTCCCTTGGTGAGTAGGTTTCATTCTATAGTCATGGTCCAACATGGCAGCTGGAGGTCCAGCCATCACAACCATGTCCCAGACAGTTGGAAGGAGAAAGAGGAGAAAGAAAAAGGGACTTCCCTAGCTGTCAGCCTGTCTTCTAAGAGGCTTTCCAGAATCCTACCCAAGACCTCATACTCGCCTCACAGGCTGTATCTGTAGGGGAGGCTGGGAAGTGTCTTGCAGGCACACATCCTCCTTGAGTAAAGCCAGAGCCTCTGTAGGGTGTTGGGCCACAGCTTGGGGTCAGCCTCAACCTCTGCCCTCTGCCCTGGGAGCCGCCTTCACTCACCATGAGGATGCGCCGGTAGCTGTCGCGGTCGATGCCCCAGAGCTTGAGGTCTGTCTTGGCCTTCACTGTGGCAGCCCTGGGGGTGCCGTAGATGAGTGCCAGCTCCCCAAAGCTGCCCCCCTCGCTGATGTTGGTCACCCACTCTCCATTCACATACACCTGCAGGGAACATGAGAAGAGTGACATCATGGGGGACACACGGGGACCACATTGGCTGCTTCCCACAGAGGCCTCCAAGCTCTCCCGGGGATCTCTTGCTTGAAGTGGAGCCCCACATTCCCCCCCCAGCAGGTGGCCTCAGGCTGTCATGGCTTGTGGGCCAGCCACCCACTCGTACCAGCACAGAGGAATAGCCAGACAGCACCTAGCCCCAAAGGATGGGCCAGCACCAAGTCATGGAGCACACCCAAGCCCTCTCCCAGGCCCGTCTGCAGTTCAGCTGCCTACTATCAACCCTCAGCCTCTCTGGCTATCAGTTTCCCCAACTGCACACCAATGAGCTGGGCCTCACCACGCATGTGCTGAGATTCCACGTGGACACCCAACCTCTTGCCTTTCCCATTCATAAACTGCCCCTTGCCTCCCGCCACTCAGCAACGCCCCAAGGGTCACTGCCCCTTCAGCCTCCACTTCCATCAGCACATACTGCCCTGGCCCCCCAAAGAGCCATGTCAACTGTCTTTGGTTGCAAAGCTTTTTCCTCCCGGGGCCTTTCCTCTCTCAGGGCAGCACCCAAGACCCTTGGCCTGGAGCCTGAACAGGAGCCCATTGGCTGGGCGCCGCTGCTGAACCGTGCTGAGAAGGGACCCAGACAAGATTCCCTTTCAGCCTGCGCTGCCGTCGCGCCCTGCACAGCGTGCCTACTATGCATTGACCGTGCGCACGCAGCCCACACCCATGCGAGAATGGTGCAGATTGTTCATTATGCAGCGATTATGCAGATTCGGTTACTATAAATTGACACAATGCACTCTTTATTCCCGCAGCGTGTCAATGAGCTTACAGAATAGTTCCCATTGGCAAAATGGGTGCGTGTGGGGAAAGAATGGATTATGATGAATCATGGAGGCGATTCTTATGAAATCAATGACTCATTATCCAATCATAAACCCTGCACAGAACTTTCTATCTCAAGGAAGACGCCACACAGGTGATGGATAAGTGCACATTCAAATGCGCCCAAGGGCGGGAGAACTGGTCCACCACCAAGTCTTGAGGGAGCAGTCTGCTATGGCTGTGCGAGGAAGAGACTCCACCTGGCGGCATATGCTCCTCCTGCCCGGCCAGTCACAGTGTCAGGAGAGCCTGGCTTCCCCTCCACAAGCCCTGGAGGAATCCAAAAAGGAATCAAAAGACAATCAACCCCCCAGCACACCATGCTGGACAGGAGGGTCACGGGTTGGGAATCCCAGGATTTTAGGGGTGAACTTAGAGGACCTCAGAGAACACGTCCCAGAGTATCAGATTCTGGTTTTCACAAAGGGAACCCAAGCCCGGAGAGGTTGGCAGAGATGTCATGGGCACAGCTGGCCGCCCACTGAAGTTGCCACTCCTGCTCTGCTTCTGTTCCTGTAAGAACCTGTTTATGGGGGTACAACTTGGAAATTAGCATAAGTGTGCAGCTCGATGACACCACCCTGTAAGGACACTCCCCAGTGCCAATCTGGCCACTGGCTCATCCTCTGTGCTGCACAGTTCGTATCCATCTAGGGGCTAGAGCTTGGGCTGCCATACATCGATCTCTCAGGGACACTCTTGAACCTGCCGGAGATGCCTCATTTCCCTGGGCAGTGAGCCTGGGGTCTCCTCTGCATCAAGAGTGTACCTCCTGCTTCGGTTTTAGCAGGTGTTGCTTAACCTCGATTTCCAGCACTTGCACCAACCAGCCCTCCCTTCAGCATTCCCCACTGATGCTCCCATGTGTGGCCTCTGGCTGACATGTGAATGCAATGTGGGCTGGGGACATGAATCTGAGGCTTGCAAAGGTTTGCTCAACACAGGAGTCCAAGCAGGCAGGCAACATCTGCAGCTGAGGAGGTGGGCCAGTCTCCCTCCTAAAACCATGAGGAAAAAGGAGCCCCTCAAATGGTAAGACACCCGGCCACCTGCCACAGAGCACAGGGCTGCCATGTCCTGGCCCAGGTGTACCCTCAACTTTCCTGGGGCCTATACATAAAGAGGGATGGAGTGGCAGCTGCCCCAGAGCATGCCCAGGGAGCCAGGACCCTCTACCCACGAAGACCCTTCCTCACTAAGGAGCCCAAGCCTCCCAGAGCTCCATCCTCGGCATCAGAGAAAACCATTGTGCAGATCCTGTGGACGGGCCCAGGGCCACCCCCCAGAGGACAAAGGGGCCATCCTTCTCGGGACACTGGCCTCTGTCACGGCTCCCGGAGCAGCGCGAGCCCCACCCAGCTGGTACGCAAAGGGGCTACTCTTGTTTTGTTTCATTTTTTTTGTTTTTGTTTTTTCTTCTTTTAAAAGAAAAATGGTGGGAGGCCCCACTGGGCTGCATTTATGCTCCACAGTGACTGTGGCTTCTCTGCTGAGCACGGCGCTCCCCCGGCCCCTCTCTCCTCCTTCCTTCCCTCCCTCCCTCCCTCCCTCCCTCCCCTCAGTCCATAAAGCGTCCCTCCATCCCCAAGTTGATTTCATCACTGGGGACCCTGCGGTAGATGACAGGTTCTTGTCCATGGGGACTTTCCAGCCCAAGGGGACACAGGACATAGGCAAATCACCATACAAACATGTATTCATTGTAGAACATGGAAGAGCCACAAAGAAACTGGGAAACAATGTCTTGGAGAAGGGGCTGTGCCGGGGACTGCGTGACAGTCCCCATGGAGGCAGATTTGAGCCAAGTTCTGAATAGCAAGGGCTCAGACCTGCAAAGATTTGTACAGAGAATTCAAAGCAGAGGGACAGGTGTGCCAAGGCCCAGAGGCAGGACTGGACATGGAAGACCCTGGATGCAGCAACACAGGGGGAGATGTTGATGGGGCAGGGCATGTGAGTAGCCACCCCTTAGCAACAGAGAAAGGAAGGGCTTGGGTGGGAATCCTAACAGGAAACAACAGAGACTATGAGCTCCCCCAGGAGACTCTATCCTGTCCTCAGAGCTCCCTGGGAGCCAAGCAGAGAGTGGCCAGGGGGCATCCAGAAGGCTACACAGCCTGCAGCCTGTGGGCCAGCAGCACCTGCATCCGTGGACAGTCAGAATACAGAGCCACGATCCCTACTAGATCCCTGAGTGAGGCTCTAGTGGGCTAGCAACTTGCCTGCAGACAGGGAGAACCCCACACACAGCCCGTTCAGACTGCAGCGGGGCCAGAAGTAGAGAGAGGACATCCATCAGCTGACCAGCCGCGGTGCCCCAGCATCAGGGTCATGAGGCAGCACTGGATTTCTGTCCATTTCCAACTCCAAGCCTAGTCCGGGTGGAGCAAGTGTGGCCTGCCTGGCCGGGCGCACCTCCCCATCCCCAGGCACACTGGGCTATAGGAGCTCTAGGTGCCCGACCCAGGGTAGGGGCTGCTCGGGTTCCCCAGGTATTTCAGGTCAGACTTGACTCCACAGAAAAGCACTCCACAGAGAAGCACTGAGAGAGAACAGAGGCCAGAACACTGGCCTGAGCTGTCACCTAAAAGGCGAAGGCAACCTGTGGCCTCAGGTCTCCTGGCCTTGCAACATGACTTAAGGGTGCTGTCAAGCTATTGTTCTACTTCATGGAGTGGTGAGGACAAAACTCTGTTCCTGACCTCCCTCAGGCCCACAGACAGTAGGGATAGGGCACCTGTGTCCAGGTGAGCCAGCTCCCTCCCTACCCTAAGGCCCACACAGCCCACTGCCCTCCTGCTTCCTCAGCCACATTTCTCACCACAGCAAGCCTGGCCCACCACCTTGATCCTCTTCAGTCCAAGATGCCAGGTGCTGAACTTGATTGGCCTTCACTGGGGCCTCATCCATCCTAGGGTTTCTGTCTGTACAGCTGGACCATGTAGGACAGCTTCACGGGTTGTTTTTACTCCTCTGGGTGGCCGGACAGCTGTCGACGATCCCCCATGGATCCCAAATCCCAAATCCAAGCCATGGCCCCCACCTCCCCTCCCCTGTGACCACACACAGACTAAGGGCCCCAGAAGGCAGGATTTTGTCAAGACCCTGAATCTAGAGTTTTCCACTGACTCCCTGGCCAACCTTGAGCCCCAATTCACGCTGTTGCTCCTTGGAACAGAGCTGTGTAAGGTTTGCCAGAGCCCAGCATGCCCAAGTCACCTGTCCCATGTGAACACTGCTGCACTTGGGAAATCTCAGGGTCTACCACCCCCAACTCCAGGCACAGTCATTGCCAGGCTGTATCCAACAGCCTGTGACTTCAGGCAGGGCCAAAAGGGCACCAAAAAGAAATTCTGGATCCCTGGATATGCTTCATGGGTGACATACACTTGGAAAGCTCCAAACTCCATAAGAAATCTCCACAACTTTGGGTGATGGGCTGCGTAGCCCTTGATAAATCACTAATCAAAACAGAACGTGCTGAAACCAGGGTGTCCCAGAGACGTCTGCACATCCAGGTCCAAAGCGGCCAGTTCACAGCAGCCAAAGATGGAAGCTGCCCAGTGCTCTCCATGGTGACAGGTGTGTGCATACAATGGATGCGACTCTGCCTTGAGTGGGAAGGACACTCAGACACATGCTACAGCATGAACACGTGATGCTCAGTGAAATAAACAGGACACACCAACGCTGTGGGATTCCATTGGTTTGAGACCCAAGAGGAGTTGGATTCCCAGAGACAGAAAGCAGAATGGTGGGTGCCGTGGGCCTGGAGGGGAGGGGCGTTGGTGTGCAATAGGGACAGAGCTCCTCCATGGGAGGAGGGAAACTCTGCAGACCAGGATGGAGATGGCTACACAGTTCACTTCGTGATTCCAGCAGTGAAGGTTGAGTATATTTTACCAATGTAACCACATGGGCAAACACTGGATAATAACTCGCACCAGTTGTGGGGCCAGATGGAGCAAGCCGTCGGGGGGATGCTGGGCTGCCAGGGAGCGCTCAGTCCTGCCTCCAAGCTGGAATCAGCTCTTCCCCAGGACCCCGCAGGCAGCAGGTCCAAGGTGCACCTGGATGGGTGTGCAGAGCAGGGAGTCCCCAAACAATGCGGATGGAAACCCCGTCTCACGGGGCTGGAAATGGAATCACACTCCTGAGCCCGTACAACTGGCAGCTGAGCGTCCTTTTAAGTAGAAATGCTATGTTCCATGAATAAAATAAATTGGAAGATATTTTTATACTTAGAGAAATGGATTACAGGCTCTTGGCAACGCACCCACCGTGGCAGACTTTCTCAGAGTCTCTGGAAAACCATCATTTAAAGCTCGTGCCTCTTACGTTCAGTTGCCTGGTCACCCTGGAGTGCCACTGGTCAGAGGGAAGCATCCACTATGTGAGAGTGCCCAGGACCCCCTGCCCAGCCTCTTTGGAGCCCTGGGGGAGGCTGCTTCCAGCCTGGGGATTGATGCTGGTGATGTCCCCATCCCTATAAGACCAGTGTCAGTATCAGGACACCTGCAGTGTCCCAGTATCCATCCTTTAGGATGTTAGAGGCATACACAACCCCTGGGCACCCTGAACCTGCAGGCTGTGCCCTGCAGAGGTCAGTTCCAGTGCCCTGGAGGCAGTTTACAGAAACCAGCAAACAGAAGGCAGCACAGGTCTCAGAAGTGGGCTGGTGACCGGGCTGGGCTCCTTCAGAGTGGTAATAACACTAATCATCATAACATATGCTCCATAACTCAGCCCAGCTGCCCCACACACCATCCATTCATTCCAGATGCTTTACTGAGCATCTTTTGATTCCTTTAAATGTGGCTTTTGCCCGTGCCCTGGGTGTTTCCCAGAGTGCCAGTGCTCCCTACCAAACAGCTCCCTCCGTGCAGTTCTGCCCTGGCCCCACAGGGCACTCCCTGCCACCCACCCTATTGTGGATGGAAACTCTAAGGTTGATGAAGGTGCTGGGCACTCACATACAGCCCTGGTGGGGCAGGAAGGCTGGTGCTCCCTTCCACTACAGCCACCAGGTCACAGCCTTGAGCTATCAGCACCCTGGATGTCCCAAATTTGAGGCTGCCCAAGAACCAGACAACCACCAGGGGCACCCAGACATCTGGCCCTGGTAAGCAGGGGTCCAGCAAGGGCCTTAGTGCTTGCTACCTTTGTACCTGAGCCTGGAGCAGGGAGCGGGTGTAGATGGGGGACAGAGAGCCTGGATCTGCCAGATATTGTACTTGGGGAATTCCAGTTATATGGAATGACCTCACCTCTTCCTTCACGAAATTGTTTCCACATGTCCTGGGCTGGTGGGGAGCCAGGTGCAGCACTGCCCACCAGGATCACAGGGCAGCCGGGATGAGACCTGGCTGAAAGGGTGGAAATCTCCCAACCCCGTGGCATGATGCCAGGGGCCTGGACCCTGTGGCAGCCCCTCTGTGGTTGGGAGGGGTCCTGCTGGGATGAGCCTCGGGTTCAAGAAGACTCAGACTCTGCTTCAAAGGGAGGGCTCAGACAAAGGTGGGGCCATGTCAGTCCCCTGCCACCCCACACTTGATGCTCAAGGGAATCAGGGCAGAGGGTCAGGTCTGGTCGATGGCATAGCACATCACTGTTTGCAATGAGAAGAGGAAGGAGTGTGAGTCCAACGGATGTGGGGCAGATAAGGGTTTCTGCACATGGCCGTGTGGCTGGGGCTAAGCACACGGGGAACCCTGAGCCTCCTGGGTGCTCTCCCATAGCTAAGCCGACTGGGAAACTGCGCACCGGCAGTTGCTAATGGGCAGTCACAGCCTGTGGGCCACAGGTGACAAGACAGGCTAGCATCCTCCCACCTCCTGCCTCCCTGGGCACCTTCAATGGGCCTGACATGTGGAAGGAGGGTGATCACTGCATTCAGGACCAGGACAAGCTTGGGCCACCACAGGTATGGGGCTGATGGTGGCACCCGTGTGGGAGGCAGGTGTGGGTGGGGCTGCCCAGAAGGGTGGGAGGTGACGGAATGGAGGGGATGGAGGGCTCTACGCAGGGACTTTGGTCTCTGTTAATGTCCCTGTGAGTAGTACAGAGATGAGGCAGCCTGAACAGGGAAGGATGGAGCCCAAACCCTCCTGCAAAACCCACTCACTGCTCGGACCCGCCCACCAACTTCCTTTAGATGCGTGTTGCAAGAAGCATCTCCTGGGACTCCCCAGTGAGGCCCTTCAGGCTCCATGAAGGAACTCTGTCTCCCACACCCATTCTCTTAGGAGAAACAAAAATACACAGTTCAGGATTCCCTGGGGTCATCTCAATCCCTCTGTTCTTCCCAAATTGAAGGCGTTCTTGGGTGGAGCTGGGAGATTCACAGGACCTCAGGGAATACGGACAGGGAAGAGCATTCCACGGGAGGGAAGAAGACTATGAGTCGAGCCTGGGACTCTTGAGGGGCTCCTGGAGGCAAGGAGGATCTGTCCTTGGTCACCTACCCCCACAGCAGGCAGAGGAGCAGGCCTGGGGGGGGGGTCTTGGGGGAGACACAGGAGTGTGGAAGACACACAGGAAGAAGAAGAGGGCACCAGAAGGCTGCGGTCCTGAGGTGAGACACTGTTTACTAACTTCCTATTGGTTGTCAACCACCCCCACCCCTTGGGCAGGGCTGTCCTCCTTCCCCAGGAGCATTCACAGGCCAGTGCCAGCACACATTTAGGCAGAATGGAGGGGAAGAGTGGGGATGTTTGGGGGGCCAGGAGATGAGAACAGTGTGAGATTAGGAACTGGGAGGGCAGCTGGGAGAAACTAGGAGCAAGCCCCCCCCCCCCCAACACACACACTCTGCCCTCTGCTCCTCAGCATCATGGATCAGGCAGCAGAGCCACAGGCACCTTCGGACCTGCCCCACCCAGAACTGGAGTCTGAGCTCACTCCTGGCCTGTGCCACCCCACCACAAGGCCTGGGTTTGGACAGGACCCATACCCCATGCCAGGAACACACGCCACCCCTGGGACAGGCCAAGGCAAGGTGAGGTGGGCAGAGCAGCCCCATGCTCCCATCTCCTCTGCTAACCCTGAAGGAGGCAGCAGGAGGTGCCTGTGGCCACAGGTCGGTCACCTTCTTCTCCTCCTCCTCCTCCTCCCTGCACATCCTCCACAGCTTAGCAACCAGAGACCTTTAGCTCCTGCCTCAGTTTCCTTCTCTGGGGGAGACAGGATCCCCAAGACACAAAGGCTCCCACAGAGACCTGGTTAGGACAGAGCTGGCAGACTCAGCTCAAGACAAAGCTCCAGGGCTCATGACAAAGAAATCTTCGAGGGGACTCAGCCTGAGCCCCCGGCAGGGCTTTGGAGGTGAGTCACTTCCTGTGCTGCCAACTCCGGAAGCGGGTACGCCCGCTTGGTTCCCAGAAACACGGCAGCGAGTGGACACAGATGGGCGCTGGGGAAATAAGTGACTAAGTGCCCTTCCCCAAAATAGCCTAGACTGGACAGAGGCTGGGGGGCCAGGGGCCAGGCCCTGAAATAGCTTACTCTGCCTGGGGCAGCGGGGCGTGGCATGACTGCACAGCTACAGGGGCTTCCTAGGGGCAAGGTGGGTCCTCTGCAGATGGTGGCACAATCTGGTGGGGGCAGGCACAGCTGAGCTGCACCCCAGTCCAGAAGGGACTTGGTAGCTGGCCTGGGAAGCAGAGGTGTCTAGGGCCTCAGGATCTCCAAAATGTGGGACAGACTCAGTCTCTACCTTCAGACTGCTTCCTGGCTGTAGTGGAAATAACTTGTTTAAAAAAACTACTTTTTAAAAAAACTACAAAACACAAACTGAATTATGAAGGAAGGGCGCCTACAGGGTGAGAAATTGGATGCGTCTGCTGACGCCCAAGCTGAGGAAGTAACATTTAAAAGGACACCAAAAGGAGAAGTGGGCACTCACAGTGACCCTGCCTAGGGGAGTCAGAGGTCTTGGCAGAGGGACAGCACAGTGCCAGGCGGGCTCCAGGGGGACTCACTCAGGCCCCACCCTGTGAATCGCATCAGGGCCCCAGCCTGATCCAAAGAGAAACAGACTTATGGCGGGTTTGGGAAAAGACAGGCCTTTAGCTCAGAGGAGGGCAGAGCAGCCTGCAGAGCAAGGAGCCCAGCAAAGGGACTCCACGGTCTTCCAAGCCAGGGCACCTGGGCTCAGATGGGGTGGCCAAGGAGGAAGGAGGCAGGAAGGTGGGGGAGGCTGGACCAAGGGCCAAGGTGGGATCTCCAGAGCAGGGGACACTTCTTGCATAGCAGTGATGGCCGCTCCTTTTAAGTGTGGCTCTTGGTTCTTGGAACATTGAAGGTGGGGAAAACTCTCCATAAGCACGGTGCAGCTCCGCTTCTGAATGGCGATATGCTGTCACGAAGTCACCGTCACCCCACGGGGGTTGGTACTGCGAGCCTGTGACTCCCCACCCACTGTGGCAAATGGCAGTGGATGTAAGACTGGCCTGTTCACAAGCTACTGATTTAGAGGTAGCTCTAAGTCAAGCAGAACAGCATGTACCTGCCCTCCATGCTCTGGCCCTCTGCCAAGTGGACAGCCCAGGGCCATGGCTGCCACTGGTATTGCCCACAGCTCCATCGTCCACTGTGCTGCGATGGGGTATTCCTACATTACCTTTTAAATGAAATGTGTTGTTTTTATTGATTGAAACATTAGAAACAGAGCTGGTGCACAGCTCAGTGGTAGAGCACTTGCCTCACATTTGCAGGGCCTGGTTTGATTCCTAGCACTAGGAACAAATAAATAAACAAAACATTAGGATGACATCACTTAGAGAAATGCTTCAGACCTATGCTTGCAACCCAATGATGAACAATGTGAAGTCTTCAAACCAGACATGGGAAGAAGCCTGTTTTCCAAAAATAGTAATCAATACTCACATCTACTTCCCCTTGGTCAATTACGTAGAAATTATCTCCTTCATTCCCTGCAACAAAGAGAGGAGAGGTGCGTGAGGCCAAGTTGGGACACATGAGTTAGAGTGTTTCTGTTTCTCTTGAAACTGTGCCTACATTGTTCGGAGGGGCCAGCAATATCCTGAGTCTCATCCGGGTCAGATGAAACCAGGGCCTCTTACATTCTAGGTAAACCCTCTGCCAATGAGTCACAGCCTACCCACCCACACACATACACACATTCTCTCTCTCTCTCTCTCTCTCTCTCTG